GGGGGGAAATGCTTGTGACACAAGGCAGCGGGCGTCAACACATCCGCAGCGACATCTGCTGGACTGGAAGTTGTATTACACTTGGTTTGGCTGATGTGCGCCAACCATTCATGTATTTTATTTGTTCATTTTTTGAAGTTAAGAATCGATTCTTGCCATCAAGAATCGATGCAGTAGATCACAAGAATTAGAATCGCGATACATCGTCATGGCGATTATTTTGCACACCCCTAATATATATATATATACCCCAGTGAAGTCAGATTTCATTTGGCTGCTTTTTTGTGACCGGAAACTAAATCTGAAACTCAAATTATCATCTCTCAATATTACTTGTGGTAACGATGAGGTAAGGAGTAAAAAAATTTTTAAGGAGTAAAGATTTTTGAACCCAGTCACAACTGACATAAATAAATATTGTATGTAAAAAAAAAAAAAAAAAAAGCTGGTATACACTAGTGATAGAGTTGCAGAATTATATAGAGAAGAGAAGGATAAATGTTTTAAAAGTTTTGTCAGGTGCCTCCTACCTCCAGGAAAGATGCCTCTTGTTCCATTTGCTTTGAGGAGTAACACTTCGTTTTCTGCGCATTGTTGTCACCTCAGCCTGAGACACATCTGGTAGTGAGCACCTCGGTGTTTTCATCAACCCTAATGTGGCTTGGTCTATGAAGAGTGAAGAAAAATAAATAAAAGGTTTGGGTTTTACCAGCAAGCTGCAAAACAACTTTATTGTTTTATCAAAACAAATCACTCACAAAGTTGCTTAAAGCAAACATCAAAATACCTAAAACCCCAGTCTCTTTCAGCCCTCCAAACCTCTGCATGGCTTTTATAGCCTTGGTCAAGGCCTCCTTTGTCTGAAGCTGTCCGGTTACTGGGTCAGGTGGTGGGAGGTAGCCAAACTTACTCAGCCAGTCCTGTAGATGAAAATAGTAGACGTACAAAGTTCAACAGAGTTCATTTGAGGCATTTCAAAGAGCTCTAAAGCTGCAGAGATACTGACACCTGTGCCTGTTTACTGTCTGAGGATACTGTGTCACTATGTGGTAGTATATATATATATATATATATATAAAGAACCAAGGGTCCCTGTGTAATCTTTCTCAGCCACAGCTTTACATTACAACCAGTTACAATCCAATTCACAATTAAACCTATGTGCACGGATTTAGCTTTTCAGAACTTAAAGTAGTTCTTCATATTTTCTTCATGTTTTCAAGACCCCAATATCATACAACAAGGGACTGTTTGGAATGATGACGCTCTAAAATAGAAATTCCATTTCAATATATGAATGATGGAATAGCCTATGCTACAAGGGAACATCAATAATTATACACAGAAAGCAGATTTTCTTCTTTACTAAATATGTCTAAAGGGAATCTGACAAATCCATGAAAGGCCACTTTATAGACGTATAAAAAGATCTACTGATCACTTATTTTACACAAAGATCTGGTAAAAACAAAATCTACTGCTTAGCTTTTTCTATTTCCTCTGACATTGTTGTCAAAAATTGTTGTTGACCTTTTGTGATTGATGTATTAAAATAAATCACTTCATAATCTCTTCAGATTTTTTTCTTACAATTAACAGAAACCTATTTTTTTAGTTTGCAGGCCAAATGAATAACAGACTTTGTTTAGGAATGTTTAACTACCAAATGTATAGGATTAGCTTCAATTGACCTTTAAGATAAAGCCAGAAAACATACATTAGATGAAATGATACAATTTCTCTGGCATATGTCCTGGAAACAAACAAATTATAGCTACAGTACATTATTCAATTCAACTCTCATGACTAAAGCATTGACTAATAATGTGTAGAAAAATGAGACTTTAAGCTGCCCTCCTGCACTAGGAGTTGTGGACAAAATAGGAGCATGGAGGAGTATCAGAGTAGACATTTAAGCATCTAAATAAATGTTACCAGAATTGAAAATTTTTTATTAATGGACTTCTCTCTTTAACCAGAGTTTTCTTCATCATGCAACACAGGCTTTGGGCAGCTGATCAAATCCTGGTAATGGTGGTGATCTGGTGGCTATCCAAATGTTGCTCTCTGACCCATTTTTGTCTTCCTCTGAACAATAGAAATCAGAATCTGGAGAATTTACCATTTTGGGGAGGCCACTGAGTGATGTATTAATGCAATAGATCCATAGGTAAAATCACATAAATTTAATATAATTTCACATTTAAAGTCATAAAATGTTGCTATACAGGGTAGCACTGTTGCAGCAAAAAGGTTCCGGGTTCGATTCCTGGCCCGGGGTCTTTCTGCATGGAGTTTGCATGTTCTCCCTGTGGATGCGTGGGTTCTCTCCGGGTACTCTGATTTCCTCCCACAGTCCAAAAACATGACTGTTAGGTTAATTGGCTTCTCTAAATTCTCCTTAGATGTGAGGGTGAATGGTAGTTTGTCTTGCTTGTCTATGTGTTGCCCTGTGATGGACTAGCGACCTGTTCAGGGTGGACCCTGCCTCTCGCCCGTAGACAGCTTGAAATATGCACCTGCACCCCTCACAATCCCAGCTAGGATAAATCATGATGGAAAATGGATGGATGAATGGATTATCATACGGGAACACAACTATAAAGTTAAAGTTAAGTGCATTACATTATTTTGTAATGCAAACTCTTGAAAAATTGTATTAGTTTTTATGTCATGCTACAAGGACAAACAAAATAAGTTGCAACAACAGCTAAATTAAAATGAGCAACTTTAGGGTTGAGAAGTGATTTAAACAAATGTGCTTCCCATAAAGACGTCTAAGGCTTCACATTTAATCTAATTTGTAAAGCAATACCTAGCAGACATGGTGTGTATAATGGGTAACACAGCAATGGAAGCAATTTGTTTGGAACGGAAGATTAAACTATATGGGAGGTAAATTTCTTTCTTCTCTTTGCCTGCTTATTGCCTCCATTCCCCCAACTTCGCTTACTTTTACTTCTACCTTTGTCTCCGCTCCATTAAATCCACCAACTCTCCCATCTTCATGATCTGACAGCTAATCAGAACAGGCAGTTTTAAAAAGGTTTTTGATCAGTACTCATTGGAGGTGAGTGACACAGATCGATAGCAAGGTGGCCCCTCTGTAATGACACTGCTGGGAAAATCCCATTTACAGGCTGACTCCAGCTGTACAGAACTACTATGCAGCCATGTCCTCTGCCTCCTGATTCTTTCTATTACCGTCTGTCCAAAGGGCTTAGAAGAAGCAATGCAGGAATTAAACTGAACCCTCTTAACACTGTAGAAACCAGCAGACAATAGTTTCCAGATATAAGATGATATGAAGGTCAAATGGAAGGTCATAGAATTTACCACAGTTGCATTCAAAGAATAACAGGCTGCCAAAACAAATGTCAGAGGTCTTTTGTCGAAGCTGTTTCTTATAAGCCATTAAGTATCTCCAGATATCTCTCCATTAATCTTTTTTTTTTTTTTATTGCAACATCTCAGCTTCTTTTTCCAATATGTGCTACAGTCTCTTTTCAGACTTTATTAAACTATAGTGTAGCCATACATATCAGATTGGTATTTTTCATTCAGGTGTAAGAAAGAAAAAAAGAGCTGAAATTCTGTAAAGCCAGATAAAGGAAAAGGTTATTTTTGACACAAGCAAATATAAAATAATTAGGTATTCTAATTTACCTGGTCACAGCAACTACTTAAAAATCAGAAGTAAGTATTTCTTAATATTCACCTAATTTTGTTTACAACCAAGTGAACTGAGCAGAACAAAAATAGATACAAAAACTTTATTAGAAAGCAACTCTGAAGTTTGGCAGCTATTCTGACTTATTCGCAAAAGTGTTGAATGGATCAGCATTAAATGGCACAATGCTGAAGATTTAATTTATAAACAATACCACAAAGTGCTTACAGCTTATTGGCACTGCATTGTTAGGAATGTTTTACTTTCATGTCATTTTTATTTCACGTCGGAGCACTTTACAAAATTAACTTATCCAATTTATATCAGATGTACAGGACAATATTTTTAAATCAGTGCAAAAACTACAGATAGACAGTTTATAATGTTAATTTCGTAGAGTTCACTACAGTCTGTATACTCATACATTAAAGATAGTGTGGTCTTTTAAAACATATTTAAATAAAACAAAATCTCAGCTTTAATGCATCAACATGTTCAAAACAATTTCACAGGAACCTCCTTACTATGGTGTGCGCCTCTTTAACTTGGATGGTTGTTTGATTAGTTCCAGCTTTGCGGCTGCTGACAATGGCTTAAAGGCTCTCCCTGGAGCAATAAAATTTAAACATTCTACTGATTAATGACAAAAAAAAAAAACTTATGGTTTTCACATGGCTTTGGATTTGATTCTGTTTCTTTTTCTTGCTTTCTATCACATCCATATCTATAATCTTCATCCAGAAAACTTCCCTCTTACTGTAAGAAATAAGTTGAGACACAATGGAAGGCCAAAAATCAAGAATGGGATCTGAATTCTTAACTCTAAAAGTAAACAAGAGATAGTTGACATCTCATAGTCAGATTTAGACAAAACCGTTGCTGTCCTGGCAGTTGGCATGTCGAACTTCTTAAAGTAGTAGGAGAGTGGATGTTCCAACCATTGCATTTCCGAATTCTCCCGAATGGTGCACGACTTTACACGAGTGAATAAAGTGGATGTGATTGGTCGATTATCAAGAGGGCAGGGTTGTTGTGGCAGAAGGTTCGCAAGCAAGTTTGATTATGGCCGGTTTGTCGGAAGCATCTTGCTAACCAGTTAGCAACTTAGTGCTTCGGGACCAAGTAGCACTAAATTGGTGACAAGACTGGCAAAAAATGCTACGGACAGCGGAAACATGCAAGAGGAGGAGAGTTTTGAGTCTCCTTCATCATACATTTTTTATTTAGAGGAGGAAAGTGGGGACAAAAATGTTGTGGAAGAGGACACCAGGGTGGCAGAAGCTTGTTTTGGTGTAGAAGGCTTACAGCCGTACATGTTTGAGCCCTTGCCCAAAGCTGCCAGTTCTGTTAGCTCCACGCCTGCCGAAGACACAGACGTCCATCCCCGTGAACACTGGGACGGAACTCAATGGGAAAGTAAATGATTCTTATTTCTTATTTCAACTGCTGTGTTTATTAGCTGCGACATATGTCCTAACTTAAGTTACAGTTTGCATGACAATTTTTCTAAAGCATTATTTAATTGGGAAGCTGCATTGTTAATATTAAGGAGCACCAATCTCCATCTACCAGAGGCCCAAACCAAGCTCTGCAGCCCAAGCTCCGCTCCAGCCCAAGTCAGATGATCAACCCTGGCTGGTAGCAGATCAGCTCAGACCAGACCAGCTTGGAGGAGCTCAGCTCGTTCACTGACACCTACTTCTCTCTTTCCCTCTCCTCTTCAACCATTTATGTTTCTTTTGTTAAATAAATCCCACTTTAAGTTATAGGCCTACCTATGCAAGGCTTCCCTTTAAGTTGTTGTGGTCCAGGAGCCAGGCCATAAGAAATGGCCTGGAAAAAATTTGATTGACAGATGACCTTTGATTAATGATTGGCCGAATTTAGGCGTACAAGCTGACGTATAACTATGTGGCCTGCATAAGATAATGAAAAAAAGCACAAATTTTAAGGCAGGATTTTTCGTTTTAAATAGAAATTTTCTAAATTTTGAGACAATATCAACTGACATTGTTGATATACATGTTTAAGCCAGAATGAATTGACATCTAAACCTGATTTCCCTACGACTTTAACTAGATCAGGATAGAGTGAGTAGTACACACAAAAACTGTAAGTTTATTGGTTGACCAGAGGCCCTGTTCCTAAGGCACAGTCTATATAATAAACATTCAAGAAACAGATGTTTCTTGCTTTGTTATACCCCACACTGATCAGTTGTTTTTTAGATTGGTTGGGATCTAGCAGGTT